CTATTACAGCAGTCTCTTTAACATTTCTTGCAATGCTTCTATTTCTACTTCTAATTACAGCAGTCCCTTTAACATTTCCTGCAGTGCTGGTTTGGTGATGATACACATCTTTAGCCTTTTATTGTCTGGGAAACTCTTTATTTTACCATTTATTTTGAATGATAGCCTTGCTGGATAGAGTAGNATAGGCCTGCAGTTCTATGAACTTCCCTCTTAGGACCGCTTTCACTGTGTCCCATAGATTTTGGATTGTTGTGTGTTCATTTTCATTTGTTTCCAGGAAGTTTTTGATTTCCCTCTTGATCTTATTGGTAACCCATTCATNTCTGGTCTGTAGAGTTCCTGATGAGAAGTCAGCTGACAGCCTTATGGGAGCCCTTTGTGGGTAACAGATTGCTTTTCTCTTGCTGCCTTTAATGTTCTCTTTGTCTTGAATTTTTGGCATTTTATTTATGATGTGTCTGGGAGTGGGCCTCTTTGGATTCTTCTTGCTTGGGACTCTCCCTCCTGAACTTGTGTGACTTTTTCCTTCACCAGATTAGGGAAGTTTTCTGCCATTATTTCTTCAAACAGGTTCTCTAACCCTTGCTTACTTTAGACCTCTTCTGGCACTCCTATGATGCAAATATTGTTACATATCATGTTGTCCCACAGCTCCCTTAGACTGTCCTGCCGTTTTTTAATTGTTTTTTCTTTTTGGATCACCGATTCAGTGATTTTTTCCTACCCTGTCTTCTAATTTGCCAATCAGATCCTCAGCTTCCCCTAGTCTGCTGTTTATTCCTTCCAATATATTCTTTATTTCTGCTATGTCATTCTTCATTTCTGACTGGTCATTTTTCATAGTTTCTGTATATTTTGTCATGCTGTTGAGCTTTCTCACAATCAGTATCCTGAATTCTATATCTGATAGATTGCTTATCTCCATTTCATTTAGCTCTTTTTCTGGAGACTTCTCTTGTTTTTTTATTTGGGCCTTGTTTTTTTGTCTGCCCATTTTGGCTGCCAATTTTGGTTTGTTTCTATGCATTGAGGCCTCCTAGGACTCTCAGTCTTTTTGAATGGTCTCTGGAGGAGGCCAACGTCAGATGTTGTTTGTGACTGGCCTTGAGTACCCTGTTTGGAGCTATCAACAACCCACAGCTTGAGGTCCCCTCTTTTTTGGGCTGGGTGCATTTGGACAAGACCAAGATGCACACCAATGTCTGCTTTTCCAAAGCCCAGGTACAGAAGAAGCAGACCAGGCAAAGGCTCAAAGCACTCTGAGGTTTGCCTGCAGGCTGATTAATCTGATTCTCTTAATGAGCCGCCGCTGTAGAAACTGCACCTGGTAAGGCAAGACGTTTCTCAGCAATTGCTTCCCCCTCATGCAAAAGCTGCTTGGAAGGCAAATGCCTGCCTGTGAAAGACATCCTCTGTTAATGGGGAATAACTCAGCACAGGAATCCAGAGTGGCACCCTCTGATCTCTAGCTCCAGAGCCCACAACCCTACGTTCTCCTCACACATCTCCAGTCCACGCTGCCCTCCCTCTGCTGGAGCCCAAAGTGAATGTCTGCAAGCAAAACTTTGTGCACTGGTTCTTTAAGAGAGTACCTGTCTTTCCAGCCTTTTCTTCCTGGCAGACAGAACCCTGGCTGCTTTTCACAGCCATATGTTATGTGGGCTCCTTTCTCAGTTTTGGTGTTCTTGGCTGGGAAGCCCAACCTGGGGTTTCGGCCCCAGAGTCCTCAGTAGGAACCCCCCACAGCTGAGATATCCCTCTAGACCTTCAGCTGTTGCCTGTGGGAGCCCACCCAGCCCTCTCACCCCTCCATACTTCCTACCAGTCTCTATGTGGTCTCCACTTTTCCTCCTTGGTTTTGAGGGTGCTTTCCAGCTCATCTTCAGTTGCAGTTGGTTATTCAGGATGGTTTTTCTATATTTTAGTTGTAATTCCTGTTTAGTCCCCGGAGAGTGTTAGTGTAGCTTCCACTCTGTGTCCTGCCATCTTTAATCTCCCTCTGTCTGCAATTTTAGTTTGGTGGGTTTTTATGATGCTATTGTCTGTGTCCTTTTGTTTAATGCTTTGTGTCTCAGGTCTGAATTCTTTTGTTTACTATGAAGTTCGCATAAAATGTCTCATAGATAACCTATTCTTTTTTCTTCCAAAAGCATTTTATCTTCATTTTCCCACACAAGTCTGTTTTTCTTCTCTTCCTTTATTTTTTTGTTGTCACAAATTATCCCTGTCTATGTTGTGTACTCATTACCAAATTAAAGTACAGTAGTTATGTTTAATGCCTTTCCATGTTAACCTTTATGTTATAGTGAAGTATTAAACACTCTATTTTAATATAATGTTGCAAGTTTTTGTTTATGTCAGTCACCTTACCCAAAGTTTTGTATACTTTGTCTTTTTGTTTTAGATAATAGAGCTCCTTTAAACATTTTTTGTAGTGCAGGTCTTGTGGAGGTAATTACCTTCAGTTTTTGTTTATATGGGGAAGTCTTTCTATTTCATACCTAAATGGTAACTTTCCTGGACACAATATTCTTGGCTGGCTATTTTTAACTTCCAGTATTTTGAATATATAATTCCACTATTTCCTGCCCAGTGAGTTTCTGTTGAAATCTGATGATAATGTGATGTGGTTTCCTTTGTAGGTTACAGCATTTATTTACCCTTAGCTACCTTTAGAATTCTGTCTTTATTATTGATTTCTGACAGTTTTAATATAATAAGTCTTAGAGAATGTCTTGTTGAGTTGAAATAATTTAGTGTTCTGTTGGCTTCTTGTGCTTGTATGTACAGTTCTTTCCTAAGGTTTTGGAAGTTCTCATCAATTATAGTTTTGAATAGGCTCTCTGTTCTCTTCTCCATCTCTTCTCATTCTGGGATACCCATTATCCTTTATGTTGTTCTTTTTAGTAGAGTCAAATATTTCTTGTAGAGTTCTTTAGTTAAAAAAAAAAATATTAGCTCTCTCCTTTTTCATGTGAATCATTTCTAGATTTCCATCTTTGAGCTTGCTAAGCTTTCTATTTCATATGGTGTCCTAGATTTCCAGTGCTTTTCAGTGCATTCTTCATTTTATTTGAGTTCTTCTACTCCAGAAGTTCTGTTTGGATTTTTTAAAGAGTTTTAATATTCTTGGTAAAGTACTTCTGTTCATTAATTTTATTTGTTTTCATTGAGCTGCCTTTTGAGTTTTATTTTACCTTGTTTAGTTTGTCCATGACTGCTATTTTGAATTCTCTATCATTTTGATTATAATCTTCTATGACTTTGAGTTTAGTTTCTGGAAAATTGTCATTTTCCTTTTGTTATTGTTACCATGGTTATTCATGGTACTTGATAAGTTGGTCTCTGCTAGTGCATTTGAAGTAATGAACACCTTTCTTATTTAGGTACCATTTTGATTTTAACAACTCAGGAGCTTGATAAGTAGAGGTATTTCTTTTGTTTTCCACTAAGTGGTGCTATAGGGTAAGTTTTTGTTTTCTTTCCTGAACTACTGCAATTGGGGAAAGAAGCTCAATTTTTGATACCTAAGATGCTGCTTAGATACATCACCCCAATAAATTCAATAAAAAATTTTAAAGATTGATTTAAGCCTATGATTGTTATCTAAATCCCCTTACCAATGATAGGTTTATAAGTGGGCATATGACCCAATCAGGACCAATGTGATCTTTTGGAATATCTACTGGGGGAACAGGTAGTGCTCCTGGGAATGATTGGCCTACCTTAAAAATAAATATTTGAAGGGCTATAGGTAATGAGATATTATAATTGCAGAGTCCAAATACATTAGTTTCTAAATACTATTTGATTATACTGCACACATCCTTCTTTGTTTTGTCATTATTCAAATACTCCTAAAATGGAAATGAGAGAGAGAGAGAGACAGAGACAGAGATGGCTTTTGGAAGGAATAGTCCCTTTCTTCACTTCCCGGTTTTTAGAAAGTATTGTGAAACACTACATTTGAAGCTGCTAAAACCATTTGGTGACTGAGAAGGGTGTTGTTTACATGCCAAAGAGAGTGGAACATAATAATGGAAGGTGTCCTTAATGAAATAATTTATTTACTGAAATAACCGATAGTATAATTGGCCCACCTAAAGGTTTTTTTAAGTGAAAAAATACATAGATAATCTGAAGAAAATTAGTTTAGAGTTTGGGGTTATAAAATCCTGCCTCTCTACTCCAACATTAAAAATAATTATGGTTCCTAATACATGACATACTCTTTAAACCCATTTCGCTTTGCTAACACTGTTCTTTCTGCCTAAAATTCTTTTCCTACTTATTTTTCCCACTAATTCTTATTCACCTGATAAAACTTAGTTTAGACATCTTTTCCAGGAAGTCTTTGGAAACCCCTAGATGGCATAGGGGTATTTCCTTTGTGTTCTTACAGCACTGTGTACATACCTCTTCCATAACATGAACTTACATTGAATTTATTTGTTCACAAATCTTTCTCCTGGACTAAAATGTAAGGCTTTGTGACTAATTTAATTCTTTATCCTCAGCATTTAGCACAGTATCTGGTACTTAAGAAGTGCTTAGTATATGATTTATTTGAACTGTGGAGGTCATTTGAGAGTTTATTGCAACAAAGTTATTAAAGCAAACAGATCTGATGCATCCATGTTGAAAATTCAACCAACTCTTCAGTTTAAAAAAACACATTCAATTAATTTGCACCTCCTAAATGTTTATTTGTTCTTTTTGAAACAACAAAAGATCAGAAAATGTTTTTCTCTTATCCTCAAATGATTTTTTTTAAATTAACATCACCACAGCCATCTTCTCCCTATCTGGACTTTGCTTCCTCCTCAGCCTGCAGAGTAGAGACCTTGCCTTTTCCATCTAGGAGGCTGTCTGTGGAGGGAGCCAAGTATGTCATAGCAGGAGGGGAGGTTCTACAGGCTTCCTATTATTAAAAGGGGAAACCCAGACTGAGCACCAAAACACACAGCAAAGAAGAGGGAACAGAGCAGGAAGACAGTTCACAAGCTGAGTCAAGTCAGCAGCAAGGCATAGAGGGGCTGAGGCTGTGCTTGGCAATATTTGAGTGGCTGGAGATTCAAGGTAACTACTCCATTGATCCCCTTACCTTTCTTTTCCAGTCTGCTGCTTCTGGAATTCAGGAGCTTCTGCATTTGAGCTGGGGATGAGCTTGTCTCTGTGTGTTGCTTTTGTGTACTGAGAGAGGACTGCATGTGAAATCTGCCTAAAGATCCAAAAGCAAGCAAGTTTCTTCCCTGAAATGGAATTGTGAAAATTCAGATTGCTTTTCATCATTTGATTGTTTTTTAATTTTGAATTTTTAAAGCAACTCGGTACTAGCATTTCATTTTATGAACAGACAAAAAGCCATAGGTCCAAGTTACTTGTAGGGGCTGGGAATGCTGCTGAGGGTTTTCTCCATCAAGTAGGAAAAAAAAACCTATTTAATTCTTACTTAAAGTTGTTTTTTCCTTTTGCTTACACTTCCAGTTCAGCCGTTACCTACTTTGCTTTCTTGAATCTCTTTGAACTGGAACAACATAAAAGGTGGGAACCACATTTAAAATTATTATTGATGTGTTCATTTTTATAAGTGAGTGTATTTTTAATACAGACTGGTCAAAATTGGAGAGAGCGAGAGGAAGAGGGATAGAGAGAAGAGAGGAGATACTAAGACACAAAGATATAAGGTTTAATAAAATTGGAAAATGGTCATTTACAAGCTGTCTAATTTCCTTAGAAAATACTTCCTTCTCATTTTCAGGTAGAAACCAGGGGTTTTGATATATCTGACTTTGTTTTTCTTTTAAAAACACTGCATCTTGGTTGCAAGATTGTTTGACTGCAGAGCAAGTGATGCACTAGCTACTTTCTTCAGTCCCTTTGAAACACTGAAATGTAAAGTTTAGCTTTTCCTGGTTTGCAGCATACAGCTGGGTTAAACGTTTTATCCTCTGATTTAAACTATTTACATTTCACATCTTCTCTTTTAACTTCCTCCTTGCAGAGACTTTTACTTCTTTGATTTACTGAAAGCAGCTAATTGTTTCTGTAGTTATCAACCTGAGGTTTATGTACAAGAGAGAGAAAAATTAAACATTTTAGGGCTATGTCCTAAACAAGTATTTAAAAGACTTAGAAATGGTTAGATTGAATGGACAATGTTTTTGCTTCCTCTTCAGTAAGCTAGCTGAACAGGAAACACTGGGATGGGGGAGGGGGGAGGAGAGTACATGTAAAGAATTTTACATGCAAAAGATATTTTTACAGTAAAAATACATGCAAAACAGTTAAGAAATCTTCCTGTTTGGGAAATGTCCTTCCTGGCTTCATGTTATGATAATACACCAGGGGCTCTTTTGCATTGGTCATTTTTCATTACTGGGGAAACTACCTCCATTTTTATTTCTTTAAAATAACTTGAAATTCCTAGTTATCAGGGGCAGTCTTAAGAATAACTTTCAGAGTAAAATTTCTATTTATGGTTTAAAATATGGCTGTGGTTGTGCCACAGGGGTTTGGCAGTTGAGGATCTACTGCAGTTCTAGTCCTAAATTTTTCCCCTTTGACTTCTTACAGAAATAAAGTTCTGTCCTTAGGATTTAGCTGAAAATCCTCTTCTAATGTGAGAAGCAAAATAGACTACCCATTTTGACTCCTCAAGCTGAATGTGACTTTTACTCAGGATTTTAAACCATCAGTTGACTTGAATAGAGAAAGTAACTCTAAAGCATCAAGAAAGAACAATCTGAAATAAGAAGGTATCAGCTTTACACTACTATTTTTCACCTGCTTAATTGTGTTATAAAATGATCTTTCTCTACAATGAGGAATAACTATCTTTGACTTCTACTATTGTCTTTTGAGGGAATATATAACAGCTTTTTTTGCATTTAGAAATTCGCAAGATCTAGTATATGTATATTTCTTGTTTATATACTCACACATGTACTCAAAATGAGTTCCTTTAAATGGATTTCTACTTATATACTGTGGGATTATGAAAGTAATGAAATTGATATCACATTTGTTGGTGGTTTACTCATCATTCAATAATTGCTTACTATAAGCTTGTTATCTACTAGGTTCAAAGTGCTGGGTATCCAGAGATTTTTAAGTCAAGATTATTATGTATCTTAGAAGCTATTTGGAACAGACAAACATAAATAATTATGGTGTGCTGTATAATAAGTGCTCTAAGAGATATTTCCAATATGAAGCAATAATGGATATGAAGGGATGGGGTGGGCAGTTCGAGAGGATGTTTTATTTTAGCAGAATCTTAATGGATCACTATAAGACTTCTAGTGCCATAGTCAACTGGTGGATTGCAATCTTTCACTGCTTGTCCCAAGATAAGCTAAGGGAGCCAGTGTAACCAATCATCCATTAAGCACTTACTATATGATAGGCATTGTGTTAAGTACTTTATATACATTATATATAATTTCCTCCTTATCTTATGAATCTTTTGTTATATCCACTTTCTGGATAAGAAAACCAAGGCTCATAGAGAATAAATAATTTGTCCAAAGTTATCCAGCTAGTAAATGGTAGAGGTAGAATTCAAACGCAGACTTTCCCAAAGCTACTATGTTATAATATTTCTCAAGAAGGGACAGGGAGGTTGGGGTAAGTAGAGTAAAAGAGGATATTTTGGGCAGAAGGAATCATAAGTTAAAGCAATGTGGACATGAAAAAGTGGATGAGTCTGGTGAACTGGGTTTAGATTCAGTAGCTAAATTTAGGGTCATTTTAGTGGTACCAAAGGGAAAGATAGTTGGAATCAAAGCCCAAGAATAAAGCAAAGACCAGTGTGGAACTTTTCATATACTGTCTTTGATATGTCTGAACTTCATTCTCTAGGCTTTGAGAAACCTTTGACAGTGTTTATGCAAGGAAGGCTATAATCAGTTTTGCATTTAAGAAAGATAATTCTAGTTATAGTATGAAGGGTAGATTAGTAAGCGGAGACTAAAAACATTAGTTTGTATGAGGAATTATAATGGACTATGCATCTGCTTATTCCTTTGAGAACTGAGGATTGCAATAGTATTTACTTCATTGGATTGTTAAAAATATTAACTGAGCCATCACATTAAAAGAAATCCAAAAAGACTGGCATATAGTAAGTGCTTCATAAATGTTAGCTATTGTTATCATGTTACCAATACTACTGTTATTATATTAGGTAAAGGGGTAGGAAACCAATGAGTAAAAAATGAAATGAAAATTTTAAGTTTAATATAGAAATGTGAGGAGGAGCTTAATCTTAATTAGGACTTGAGTTGGTCCTTGACGTCAAAGACTAGAAGGGGAAAGGTATGGGCAAAGGCAACAAAAATATGAACATATCATGGGCAGGCAATAATGCCTACACTATTTTTGTATATGTAAAGAGGTTTTGATAGGTACAATCAATTAAGAATATGGAGACTGGAGTCCCATTGCTTAAGTTTGAATAGCACCTCAGACACTTAGTTTTATGTTGGGCAAGTTATTTACCAGTTTTTTCATTGGCAAAGTAAGGATAATATTTGTACCCACACTATTGGATAAGAATAATGCCTGGCATATAGTAAGTACTGTGCAGTGCTAGGCATTCTTATCATTAAAGAGAGAAAATAACTAGCTTATAGATAGCTTTGAGTTCCAGGAAGGGTTTTGGATTTGATCTTTAGGCAATGTGGAGTCACTGACAATTTTTAAACAGAGAAAAAGGCAGTATGACAATAACCAATCTGGTAATAGCATGTAGGATTTTTTTTTTTGAGGTGGGGGCAGGGTGTGGGGCAGATGTGGATGAGTCTCAAGTAGAGATGGACAGATCAATTCAGATGTTCAGATCAATTAGTGCAGATTAAGAACAGAAGAGGCAGTGGTAACATGTGTATGCAAGAGGTATCATAAAGGAATAATTTCTAGGTTAGTAAGGAATACACATGAAGTAGATGAATAGGTCAGTAAGATGACTCTGACGTTTCTAAATCTCCAAGTTGAAGACTGGAAAAAGTGTGATATTATTGACAGAAAAAGGTCATAAAATGTGGCCTGTTTAAGCTGGAAAATTAAGACAAAAATCATTATAACTTAGATTTTACAAAACACTTTCACATACATGAGTGTGGTTTGGAAAATACTGAATTCAAGGTACTGTTGGCGCACTCAGCAAGTAGTTGCCAACAGCGAACTGAAGTTTAGGAGAGAAGCTAGGATTTGGTAATCATATATGTAAATGTAGTAGTTAGAAAAGCTTAATTGGATGAATTCTATGAAAGAGAGATTATAGAGCAAAAAACACAGTTCTGAGACTTGCACAGTCACAGTTTAGGATGGTTTGAGAAGAGAAATAAACCAGTGACTAAGATGCAACTGGAATGGAACTTGAGGTAGGAAGAGGCTCAGCAAAGTCTAATATGAACAAAAATGTTGACTGATGAACAAATAAAGGAGAATTGGGTGCAAAGAAAGGTGATCAGAGCACCATGTTTTGTGTTGGAAACAGTGGTTCTAGTAAAGTGATAGGGCCAGAAGTTAGGATATAAAAGGGAAGGAATGAGTGGACAGTGAGAAGGAACTAAGTTATGGTCTTATGATAGTTGCCTATATTCTTTATTTTATAATTAATTTTCTCATACTGCAATGAGGTATCAATTTAGACCCAGTAGAGTGGCAAAAATTTACAAATATGGATAATGCCAAGTCACTCTGGGGATGTGAGGATTAAGTATGAATGCAGACAAGGGACATTTTAGAGGGCAGTATGTCACTACTTAGTCAAATTAGGTATATGCATACAGTGTGACTCAGAAATACCACTGCTGGATATACAGTCTAAAGATGTTCTCTCACAGGTCCATAGGAAACATGTACTGGAGTGTAAATTGGAGCAGGAAGTTAGAGGCAATCTGGGTGTCAGTCACTGGGAGAGTAGATAGTAAAACATAATGGGTGCATACCATGGAGTATTATGTCACAATTAGAAGCAAGAGATTGGAGATAAATATAGCAACGTGAAGGGATTTGAGCACTATAGTGCTTAGGGTGAAAAAATGTATAAATATGTATAACTGAAGACTGAAATATATAGTACAATGACATATACATCTATTTTAAACAACAAAATTTATTTTTCAGAATATATATGCACAGAAAGATACACACTAAACCTATCAGAATGGCAACCTATGGTGGGACGAGGGACAGGAATGGGAATGGACTGTGAGAGTAAAATAGAATGAGCAACACAAATACCACCACAAAAAATGGGGTTGTGATCATTTGGTACACCCGGCATTCAGAAGGATATTAAAAATATTGCAAAGCCAAATTATGTACTATTTTACTATTCTGCCATTCTCAAGTTAAAAATAGCTAATTTGCAAAAGATTATGGTTTGCTTGATTTTCTTGGTATGTAGTGTGTGTGAATGCAGAAAATTAATGTTTATAAACAGAATCCCCATACTGTAAGCTTTTACTTAGAACCAATGTCTTTTGCTTCTGCAGATCAATATGGCCATGCCAGAGAAATCAAGTTGTACTAAACCAAGTGAAGATTTCAGTCATTTTCCTGAGATTATTGAACTCAACGTGGGTGGTCAGGTGTACATTACTCGCTATCCTACTTTGGTCAGTGTTCCTGGCTCCCTGCTCTGGGAAATGTTCAGTGAAAAGAATCCTTGCTCCCTAATCCAGGACAACAAAGGGAGATTCTTTGTAGACCGAGATGGTTTCCTCTTTCGCTATGTGCTAGACTACATGAGAGACCGGAAACTGGTGCTTCCTGACCACTTTCCAGAGTGTGGTCGGCTCCAGAGAGAAGCAGAATACTTTAAGCTACCAGAGTTAGTGAAGATGTTGGCTTCTAAAATCAACAAGATCAACTCAGTTGGCAATGATCTATGGCAAAGTGATCTAGAAGAGCTTTCCACCAACATTAACATCACATGTAATCTCTCTTCAAGTAATAACATCCATGTTAGTGGCCCTGATAACCCCCTAGCTCTGACAGCAAACAATGGTTCTGATCCCAAGAAGGCAGGTTTCATCACTATTGGCTATCGAGGCTCCTATACTCTGGGTCGGGATAGTCAAACAGATGCCAAATTCCGCCGCGTGGCCCGAATCATGGTGTGTGGTAAGATATCATTGGCCAAAGAAGTATTTGGAGATACTCTAAATGAGAGCAGAGACCCTGACCGTCCTCCTGAGCGGTACACTTCTCGATATTACCTCAAATTTACCTTTCTGGAACAAGCCTTTGATAAACTAGCTGATGCTGGCTTTCACATGGTAGCATGCAATTCCACTGGCACCTGCACTATCACCCATGACCAGACTGATGACAAGATCTGGACCTCTTACACTGAATATGTTTTCTGCCGGGAGTGACACTTAAAAAAATCATCCAGAAAATACAAACCAAACAGACAACTCTCTCTCCCTTGTCTGTTCCTGTGCGAACTATCCCTTTTAGAAATAAGCACATTAATTTTGGATATACAAATCTTGGGCAATGCCACTCCTTTCACCATAGCCAGTTGAACCTTTTTTGGTAACTTTCTTCTTACACATTCTATTCTATCTGGCTTCCAGCCTGCCTTGGATTGTGGAGTTGGATGTCATTTCATGAAAAGTATTCAATGTGTAGGCATATGTGCATGCACATCGCTATAAATAGTAGGGATGTATTTGATGAGTGAATGCAGTTAGATAAACCCACAGGATTTATTTAGTTAGCTGAGAAATGCTAAGCCATGGTTTCCAAACTAGTTCTCAGCACTACATCTTGGAATTGCTTATATACCTTGCTGTTTGTACTCTCCTAAGGAAAGCTCCATGTATACTTATTCTGAACTAGAGACCCTTGCAGTAAATATGCTTTGTAAACTGTTATTGCTATTCTTTTTATCCAGATGGAATGGAAGAAATTGGCAAGCATCCTCCAGGAGGTTCATAGAAAGGTCAACCATTTCTACAATTATTAATTATTCTTATTAGAAGATGGATGTAAAAAAAGCAGCCAACATAAATAATTACTGCCAAGAATAAGAGGCTTAGCACTTAAATTGCCTTTACCTGAAAAGGAGAGTGAGGGTGAGCATTATGACTATTACACAGGCATAAGCAGGTATGCCACTTTAAAAGACTGCATCAAAATATATTTTTTATTTATTAGAATTGAAATACAAGAGCATGTAGCTAAGGGAAGGTTAAGCAAAGAATTGCTTTCTACAAATACATATATATAGTAGTATGGTTTTCACTGTGTCAAACAATTGGATGTATGCCAATTGTTAACTTTTGCTAGACTACATGTGTGTGTCTGGGGTGGGAATGGGAGAAGGAAGAGGAGGAAGATGAACAAAAGGAGAACTTTTAAAAAAAGAAATAAAAATGTATCTTCTGACATCCCCACTAATGACTTTTATTACATAGGTTGAAAGAAAAACCCTCATGAGACAAGTCAAGAAAAATAAACTTTGAGGGCTAATTTTAAAAAATCTTTATCTCCTCTGAACAGCTCTACAGCAATCCAATGATCAAGTGGCCTACTGATTCCTTTCTTTCTTCCCTGATGCCTTATATTTACCCCATGTCTCTGTTGTACTTATTATTTTTTGATTTATTTTCTAGTCGGGACTCAGGGTTGCAAGGAACTAAAACCCATTCAATGTGTCTTGAGAAAAATAAAAAGAGCATGTGTCAGGGGTGTGAATGGGTGGACATTTTGTAAATGCACCTGTCCTGTTGAGTCCAAGGACAAAAAAATGAACTCCAATCAAATTTCAAATGAGCTGGGAAGATGTCAGGAACTAATATTCTCTCTTGTCTGTCAGAGGACATATGGCTTCTTCTTTGGTCATCTGAGTCTGCCAGTTGTATATTTTTCTCTTTATATCTTGGGATCACCTTTTTCTCAGTTGTACCTGCCATAAACCAGACATGTCAGCCTTTTCATGTGCATAAATTTTCAGCCATTCTCTCCATAGTTAACTTGTTTAGTGATACCCTAATTTAAAAAAAACCCAAACAGCTGTGGTTTAAGAGGGCTTTATGGGTGTTGGCAACCAAAAGTCCAACAGAGGACTGTTATCAACATGTCTAGATGAATTACTACCTGTGCTTGACACATACTAAACAATTAGTGTATAACATGTAAAAGACTCTTTGATGAGTATTTCCAAAGGTCTCAGGGTCCAGATTGACTATTAATGGAAGTGATTTTAGAATGTGATCAGAGGTAATCTTTCATGGTCTTCCTATCTAGCTTTGCGAATACCCTTCTGATAAGTTACTGCCCTAGAAGGGCAACATTTTAGATGCTTTAGACAGGTGTTTCCCAAACTCAGTCATTTGTGTACCATTCTCATGGCTTTTTCAATTCCCATATCCCTCGTGCACTCTTAATCTAATCTTTTAAAAAGCGAGCTAATAAGTTCACTTTCAGTTTGATTCAAATACATTCAGTAGCTCTATTCCCTTTGACATATTTCTGGTATGCTCCAGGCCTCAATGGCTTTATTGTGCAATAGAGAGGAGGCTATCTTTTGTCCTATGTTGTATGTATACCATAGTTAGGCCATAAGGATAGGGGGATATGCAACGGTGACCTGTTGCTTCATGCCTTGGACTCGGCCTTCTAGAAATGTACTGAACCTGATTAGAGAGGATTTGTAACCCCACTTAGAACCAAGACTATTGCTCTACTCACTTTTATCCTGTCATCAATTTACTGTTCTCTTGGGTTCAAATTAATTCCAAAACATTTTATCATTTGTTCTTCAAATTGTAATTATATTAGCTCAATCAGATTACTCTCCTATCACTTAGTAATAAAATAATGGGGAAAAGAGAGGGAATAAATTGTTATAATCTCTCAGGTTGTGTAGTACATTAAGAAGTTAGAACATAGGATGGTTCACAGGCTAAATGAGGGGATATCTAACTGGGTAGGCAAATATATATTTGTTTTCATTTGAGAGTCACTAGTGTGGTAGGTGTTTATAAATAAATGCTCAAACTATAGTTAATATCATAAATGGCCTTCTATCAAGGCTGTTGTTGTTGGAGGCATCAGAAACTGAATCTGGTTGATAGCTGTAGAAAAGAAATTATCCTTCCAGAAATTCTGTAAACTAGTTAAATTTCAGAACCACCTCGGGCCCATCCTGCTGCAATGAGGACTCACATTGTCAATAATCACCAGACCAAACAGAATTTATACGACCTGGATGAAGATGATGGTGTTGCAGTTCACAACCTCAGGCAGCCTTCTCCACCACATGACCAGGCTGAGTGGTTCGAAGCTTTCCACATCCAGTGCCCTCCTTCTCACCAAAGTGGTTCAGAATGATGCATGCACAGCTCCCATTCTCCCCTCCTCAGTCGGACCAACATGTCCTAGACACTAGTGAAAAAGGAGGATTCCCCCAAAGAGCTGTCACCTGCTGAGCCTGTCATCAGCACTTTGGAAGGCACTGAGATCACTGTGAATAATCTGTACATTAGAGTCACACAGGAAGATATTGTTGAGCTTTTCTGTGTATGCAGAGCCCTGAAGTGGCTCGGTGGGTACATACTGGGGCAGCAGAAGTGGTCTTTGTTAAGAAGCATGATGCTGTCACCTCATATAAGAAATATAACAGCCCTAGCCTGTTTGGGTCAGTGGTTAGAGCGTCAGCCCGTGGATTGAAGGGTCCTGGGTTCGATTCTGGCCAAGGGGACGTACCTCAGTTTCAGGCTTGATCCTTGATCGGGACATGTGCAGGAAGCAACCATTCAATGTGTCTCTCCCACATGGATGTTTCTCTCTCTCCTTCCCTTCCACTCTCTCTGAAAAGCAATGGAAAAATATTCTATATCCTCAGGTGAGGATTTAAAAGAAAAAAGAAAAAGAAATCTGGATAGCAAACCACTAAGTGCAAACTTCACATGAATGGGAACCTTATCACCTTAGACCAGCCTATCCTGCTATAACTGAGTGACAGCCCCTCAGTGATAAAGGAGAGTGATCTGCCTCACAGGGTGAACTCTGCTGCCTCGTCCAATCCTCCTGCAGAAGTGTACTCTGACATCATCCTGAAGGCATCCTTCAAGTCCTCAGAGGCTTCTGTGACCACACAGCCTACAGAATTCAAAATAAAACTTTGAGAGGGGTAGTGAGGCAGTCAGAAGCAGGGACAGAGGAGGGTAGCTGTTTCCTAAAGCAAAGCTTGTGAACAATGGGCCATGGGGCCGGAGCCCCCAAGTAGGGGGTTGAGACTTTTCTCACTGGATGGACCTGCCTTTTTGTGTTGTGTCCTACCCTGTGCTCTTTTGTACATTAACAATTCCCATAATGTGTTTCTTCTCCCTCCACCTCCTCACCAAGATAGGTGTGTTTTGCTCAGAGTGTCTATCTTCCTAACCTCAGCCCCAAACTGATTTTTAAAAAAAATGGTGCCATAAATTCTCTGCATGGCTTTCTTGTGGCTCCAGGAAATGGGAGCCAGATCAGCTACAGAGCTTTGCCACTTACCTGCCTGGTCAATGGAGATGGCCTAGGTGGGGATCAGGTCACATGCTTCTTGTCCTCTCACCACAATTGGCTCAAAATTAATCTGGTCTGGAAAGGGCCCTGTGGCAAGTGCAGGGTGAGCCTGCTGCTCTGGTAGGAAGAGTGTAGGCCCGCTCTTGGCTTGGAGGGCTCATGCAGCCTCAGGCAAATCAGGGTAAACCCTGAGAAGTCACATTCCCTTTCTCCCTTGGGTTATACAGAGTCCTCCACCCCAGCTCTATTGGCTTCTGGTTATCACTGTTGGAAAAGCTTGTATTGTTAGCCCTTCCAGTTCTCACTAGCCCAGCACTCATCATGCCCTGATTTTGGTGTCAATGCCAGCTCTCTGCTAGTTCTGTGACACTGTGCATTTGGTGTTGGCTTGCTCCTAGTTCCTCCTTTCTAGGCTCAGATGTCTACAGGACAATAGTCAGGGATGCTGAGAGGCATAGATCTACCTGCCACCAAGGGGCACTGTCTATTGTAAGTGACCCATCTGCCCATGACCAGATGGGAATTTTCCTGCCTTGGCAGTAGAGATAGGGGAATGGTGGGTAGTGGGGAAGGAGTTGAGAAAAGAAAGCAGCCCTTCCAAGTAAGTGATGGGTTATTCCCTTAACATGGTTCCAGGGAGTTGGGGCAAAACTGTAGAAATCAGGAGCAGCCCCTGAATATCAAGACAGCATTGCTCCAGAATCATTCTCAGTCTCTCACTGGTTTGTTCGAACTATAAAGGGAGTCCAGACTGGAAGAGCTGGAAAGAGTTGGGAAGCAAAATTCTGGGAGCTCTAGAGAATTAGTTGTAAATACTATTGAAGGCAAAAGCCTAGAAGGTAAATGGGACCTGAGATATTGAGAGCCTCTCATGACCTGCTTGGGGCCAGTCCAGTGAAGAAAAACATGGAAACTCATATTTCCACAAGTCAAATCTATCAAGGAGGAAGGACCCAGCTTACTACTCCACCTCTGAGGTTGCCAAGGCCTGGGAAGTCCAAGGAATAGTGTTCCACTTTCCAGTTTTTTAAAGAATACAATTTTTGTTCCCTTCTTCGCCTTTGAACGGGTGCAAACAATTCTCAGAAGCTGAAAGACATTCCTCCTACACTTTCCCCTTCTTGGCCAAAGAGAGCACAAGGACAGTCAGACCTGGTTTCTCAGGTCCTGAGCACAGTCTAGTTACTGCTTGGACTTTGCTTCAAGCAGAGATGGTAATTTTCCTGGATGTATGGCATTAACCTCTCCTCTCCCTTCAGTCCCATGACAGGCTACTTGGGTTACCAGAGTTTCATTGAGCCAGCTGCAGCTGCCAGGCCATGTGGACCTGGTCCTCTGGTTAGCCACATGGTACATTGTGGGGTGGAGCCTGTTTGCCTCCCCTGCTCTACAGGATGTTATTGCAGGAAACAGGGAAGAGAAGATGATGGGATAATCCTTGTGTCCCTCTTCACTCCCCACACCCCTACATTCCCCACCTGTGTCTCTTTTGTTCAGAAGGAGAGGAAGAGACATTAGGGGATGGAGGAGATGCTGTTACTTATCCATTTCTGAATAAATATTTGTTATCCTAAAAAAAATAAGAAGATAGTTGATTATCAGTTGCTGGAAAGGATAAAGGGAATTCAAGACTTTAATTGCTTAGGCATAGAAGAGCCTTCCCAATTTTTAATAGACATTATTTTTAGAGCAGTTTTATGTTAGTAGCAAAATCGAGTGGAAAGTCCAGAGAGTTACCCTGTGTCCTCTCCCTCTTCCACATAACTTACTCCACCTTCAACATCCCATATCAGAAAACTTGTTTTCTGTTATTGATATAATTCTACGAAAGTTTTTTTCTTCCTTTTCCATCTGCATCTAATAAATTAATACTTTTTGCTGATTCTGACTGTACAATTTCTCTCCCCTTTGTTCTTTTCTTTCCATCATCATTACCAATATTTCTAGTCCAGAGACTGACATGGACAGCTATAACAGCACTGTTCTGGTTTTTCTGCCTCCTGACTCCCCTCCCTCTAATCTATCCTCCAGCCTGCTCTGAAAATAATCTTCCTAAAGTCCCTTTTTGTTCAAAAGGAGAGGAAGAGGCATTAAGGGGTGAAATGATAAAAAAATCCAAAACTTCCTCTAGCAAATAAATTACAATTAACTTATCTCACCCTTTGTACTTCTTGTTAT